CGCGACAAGTTCATCAAGATTCAAAACAGGTTTATCAAGATTCAAAACAGGTTCATCAAGATGCGCGACAAGTTCATCAAGATTCGCGACAAGTTCATCAAGATTCAAAACAGGTTTATCAAGATTCAAAACAGGTTCATCAAGATGCGCGACAAGTTCATCAAGATTCGCGACAAGTTCATCAAGATTCAAAACAGGTTTATCAAGATTCAAAACAGGTTCATCAAGATGCGCGACAAGTTCATCAAGATTCACAACAGGTTTATCAAGATTCAAAGCAGGTTCAACAAGATTCTCAAAAAGTCCAAATTCGACGGGCAACTCTAAGAAAGTTGATGGCTATTTCTGTTGCATCACAAACACAACAGGTATGACTAATAACTTGTGAACAGACCTTTTCAACATATTGTGAAGTAGCGATAAAATCACATTGTACCCAAAATGTTCTTCGTGTTTTGTATGCACGAATGCTGTCAATCTATCGCCAAGGTGGTTTCTCGTCTGCTAAGACTATTAGGTTGTTAACTAGTGATGTTTTCAGGGTACACCGGCTCAGCCGAGTAATGATGATGATGATGAGAATGATGATGATGATGATAATGTGGTAGGTACAGGCTTTCTAATCATATTATTACCCTAATAGTGATATAATCCCTTGTCAGTTTTCAACAGATAGTAAACGGGAATGCTACCTAACGTTCATGTTAATAATTAGAAACTGTTAAACGCATGAGATTCCTAATGTAAAAAAGTTGTCAGGTTTCAGATTTCAACCGTTTTTGTCTCGCGGAATCGCACGGCTCCATCGCTTTGATAAAACAATGAATTCTATCTAGCAAGTCAGAAAAGCCATATTGGATTATTTYATAAGGTGTACYTTTCCAGTATTGACTTCGCATTCTCTAGTGGACGATTTCCCGGTGGGAGGTGCTTTCAAATATATATCGCGGTAAGACCGACGGAAAACGCAATGTTTTCGGGAAATGTCTTCTTCGTTTTCATTCGCGTCCCTCCGGTATTTKTGAAAAGCTCCCGCCCATTTCGAAATCGTCTTTTGAGAACAAMAATGACGGCAATAGTTTGATCAGAGTTATATATTCTGTAGCCTGACAACTTACATTATGTGTCAAACAGGTAAGTGACTAACTTACTAGAGTAGTGGATAAACTGCATGCAATAAGTGCGGTTATTTTGTAGAAAGATGACGATAACGATGATGATGACGACGAYGATGACAATAAAGCGGTATGTTTACAATTCCTTCCTGGTTATAAAAGTTGACCATTACAATTCTAAATATAATGTTGATTAATGTGCTAGTCAATATGAATTGTTAATTTACCACATAAAAAGTCTTTTGCAACACTTTTTCAATGGTGTTTTGTCTTCTAGCTTCGCTGTAGTATCAATTCCTGCACTTTACATTTCTTTTTATTCTGCAATGAAGACTAATTTACAATGTTAACAGAAAAAATGAATAATGGAAGGTATTTTAATTTTAAAAAAAATTGAGTGAATGAAACAAAGTTGAAATTTATTTTGAGAATTTACTAAACATATTGAGACTAAACATAACCTGAGGCCTGAGATTTTTCAATCACACAGCAAATTACTCAAAGTTCTATTTTGATAACTGAACAAGATAACTGAACTGAATATAGTTACTGACTCAATGGATTGGACTGCATACTAAATCTGCATAGCCACAGAAGTTACCCATGTTTTGTTCCCTCAGGCATCTGTAATAATTTCTGGATAACTTATTGTTATAACACCATATTTCAAGATCCGAAGCAGCATTTATCGCAGTTGTTTTTCCAGGAACTTGAGGATCTTGATGATCTCGGTGATGACGATGATTACAAGGACGAGGTTTGATCTTTTACCTCATTTGCATAGTGTCTTGTCCTGTAAGCACTTAATTACCACGGGTCTCACTTGGCACTTTATGTTATGTTCCTGTAAGCTATAATTGCACGGTCCATAGTTTCACTTTGTATAATTTACGATGATTAACCAAAAAGCACTAAATAAGGAGCTGAGATTTGCACTTGGCACAAGATAACGAASGACATATTCACAAGCACATAATCAACACRGGCCTCACTTGTTAACTGATATTATGTCCTTGTACTTCACAAGCATGGTCCAMTWTTATTTTTTTCTGTTAGAAGTTTGCAGTCAGTAAGATTCTGCTTCCATTACTATCATATACTTTTGATAGCATGCTTGCATGTAACATAATCTTCCCATTGGAGCATTAATTTTTGGTCCTTCAATGGACTTACATTATGGGCASTGCACCAGTAAGCACACACTATTGGTCCTTAAAAAGTATCATTTGAGTATGTTTGTGATGTGAAACCGCACTGTAGAGAGCTGTTTGTTGTGTCACTCATGTTTGGGTTTCCTGTGGTTCCAAGACAGGCAACCCAAGACTAAAAGACAGGAAACCCAAAAAGTGACACTTCAAAGAGCTTGTTAACATAGTCACTATTAATTATTAATATTTGATACTGTGATTTCTGCATTGGTAAGTAAATCAAATACTACCCCGGTGGCAGTTTTTCTGTCATTATAACAAGTGGAACTCAAAGCACTTCCTYGCGTTTTGAAACAGGCCATTAAAAGTCCAATGTCACTCATCTCTTTCCTCCTCAGTGATGACTATTTTATTTAGGTCAACCTGTGAAAACACTTGATTAAACATTTCTGGATCTTCTCCTGTAATAAAACTGATACAAAAAGCTGAAAACTTCATCTTAGTTGTTTCATATCAATTGATATCACCTGGTTGTCAAACTAAACCATCACCTAACCATCGACTGATTTGGCACTTTCTTTTTTCCAGGYATTGCCCCAGCCATCCAAGCCATTTCAAACTGGACAAGGCACCGTTTACTTTCATCCTGGTTTAAAACTCAATAACTCTGTTCTTTCCAAGGATTCTGCRCTTTTACGTGTATACTCTGCKCGTGAGTACATTCGACGAATGCAGAAGCTTGTTCAGATATATAAATATGATGTTACAAGTAAACAGTTATCAGACCAGATATATCGACGGTTTGGTGTCAGAATGCAGGTACCTGAATTACGATAYTACAGAGACTACAATCCTTGGCTGTACAACCAAAATATTACCAAGTGCGGTACTGAYGGGAATGTTTTGTTAAATGAAAATGTAAGTTTATTACAGAGATAGAGTTTGMCTTGACTGTAACATGATCATAAAAGTACTATGGGAGGAGGGGTGAGATGAATATCATTATCATAGATTATGCTAGAGCACCCTAGAAGAGAATCAGTCCAAATTTAGGAAGACTGAGAGAGGGACATAAATATGGCAAGGACCAGTTGTATTAGTAACCCTTCTCTTAACACAGGTAGCCCAAAGTGTGGTAATGCGTTACATGAAGTCTGTGGACAGAGTAAGACCACAGTAAGTACCAGGTCCTCTGACKTTATATTACACAGGGTTCCCATCTGATTGATTGATTATTATTTCAGTAAATTCAAATTGGAGAGAATCATCAACGTGCAAGAAAATCATGACGTTATTAAAGGCGATCGATATCTGATAGAATTGGTGAGTTACATGAGAATATGAATRTAACATGGAAGGACTTAAAAAGTGTTACTGCCGTATACTGAGGGTCATCAATAACTGGCACAGTTCCATTTTCTTGTTTATTTATTGTTTTCACTGATTTTATTTTCTTTATCTCRTTCAGGAACTCTTTCACTTTGAAACAGGCAAGTAAAAGCAACAAGTACAAGTATATTTGTAAATMATTTTCAATGTAAATAACTAAATSCTGTGGTTTCAGAGAGAAAAGCTCGCGTCTCTCAGTATGTTTACCARGAAATGGGGTACACAGATTTCTGTTCTCCACAGAATTTCCACATACGACACCATGCAACAGTTCATGTTATTATTCCAGGTAAACTACCATTTCCAGGAAATTATGTCATTACTATTCCAGGTATTAGTTAGTCTTTTCAATGACTTGTGTGACTAACAGGCTTCTCCTCGAAATATTTTGTTAGAAAACTGAGATGACCATGGGAGGGTGAAGAAAAAATAGAAAGCATTCTCAAAGTTTGTGTTTTTTATTTCAGTCAAAAATCAAGGGCGTTGGGTACAATACTTCATTGACAACATGTCGGAGGTTTGTGAGCATTTGAATGAATGAATGGGAAACTAAATGAATTGTGATACTGAATAACTAAATGACCAAAAAARCGACTACCAGACCGTTGATTGATAATATGGTAACTGTTCAAGGAATCTAAAGTTACAGGAATCAAAAAGTCGTGTATTTTTTTACTGTAGCTATTCGTCAAGACTGGTGATCCCCATCTGAACGTCATCATCGTTGACTTCAGCAGCGACGATATCGATATCAACGAAGCCTTGAAACGAAGCCCACTTGTGAGGTTAGTACCCTCCCCTCCCCTCCCCTCCTATAATATTTGTCACCTTATTGTATGTTGATTTTCTAGGTACCGAGTTATAACGCTGAGTGGTCCATTTCAAAGGGCGTTTGGTATCCAGGCTGGCGCTGCTGTTATTTCGGTATTTAAGATTGTTATCAGTAGTGTTTATTTATCAAGTCATTTTTACGTTTATTGATATCTGTTTTTCATTAATCCATCTATTTTTAGAATCCTAATGACATCGTTTTCATGTGTGATCTTCACCTTGAGATACCCAATAATATGATTGACATCATTAGAAAGGTATGACGAAGTAAACCATATTTGGTAATACAATGCCATATTTGGTTATACAATGCCATATTTGGTTATACAATGCCATATTTGGTAATACAATGCCATATTTGGTTATACAATGCCATATTTGGTAATACAATGCCGCATTTGGTAATACAATGCCGCATATTTGGTAATACAATGCCATATTTGGTAATAATACTATATTTATTGTAGCATTGTATACAAGGACGAATGGCGTTTGCTCCGATAGTTTTACGTCTCCATTGTGGTTTTACTCCTACAATACCGTATGGTAAGATGGACTTCTTAATGACTTGACATCCTACTTTACTGTGCTTTAATATACTCTACTTTTTGTGTTTTATTGCTTTGGTTTACATTACTTGTGTACTATCAATCGTTCCAACCATTCCCATGAGATTCAAAAGATAAAAAAACGGCGGCCATGTTGGAAGAATGAAAAATTGATACTAATGAGAAATCCTTTGTTAATGAGTTACTCCAAGATGTCCGCTGTGATAATCTGAAAACGAATGTTTACTTCGGTTTCGTATCGGTTTAGTGCTTTGTTGTGCTGTGTAGACCTTTGTTGTWCAATTTGTCCTGCTATTTGTATTGTCCGCGTTAACGTGTCACCAGCATTTACATTTATATCCTAAAGGATTCTGGGAACTTCAGGGGTAYGGTCTATTTGCCATGTATAAATCAGACTTCGATCGGGTTGGTGGTATGAACTACCGTGAGTTTGGGACGAGATGGGGAGGAGAGGATTGGGAACTACTAGACAGGTATTTAGAGCACATTTGTACAATTTTATAATATGAAGTATTTTTTGTTGATACTATGTATTTTTATTATAATAGTAGTACTATTATGATTATCTGTAAGACTATATAAGGCATCTACCAACATATCGAAACATGGTTTGATATCGATATGCCTGTGTGGTGATAACATCGAATAATTAGTTTACCCCA